CCCCCCCCCCGCCAGTGCGGAGTGCGGGGACGGAGTGCCCTCTGCTGACACGCGCTCGGGATGGGAAAGGGAAACTGGGAGGAAAGTGGCTGGTTTAGGGGGGGAGGCTGGAGATGGGGCTTTGTTGAGGTGGAGCAGGTCCCATGGGGTGTGGCACAGGGACCTGTGGCTGCATCCGGGGTGAGGTGGTCATGGGGAGGGTTGTCCATGGGAAGGGGGGTCTATGCGAAGGGATGACCCTGGGGAAGGGTTGTCCATGGGAAGGGATGACCCTGGGGAAGGGATGTTCATGGGAAGAGATGTCCCCGGGAAGGGGTGTTCATGGGAAGGGATGTCAGTGGCACTTTGCCAAGGCAGAGTGGCCGTGCCCCTCCCGTCACTCACCGTCCCCTGTCCCAAGGGAGGTGACACACAGCCAGGGTCCACCGACACGCAGAGGATCCCACTGCCCCCATACTCCAGGGCCAGGCACCTGGTGAGCATGTTCAGAGCAGCCTGAGGGGACAACCACCACCATCACCATCCTGGGATGGCACTGCCACAGCTGGAAGAGGGGGGGATCCCACCGGAGGTGACCCCCAGGTTCCTCCCTGTTCTCCCAGCGGTGGTACCTTGCTGCAGCGGTAGCAGACGTCCTGCCTCTCCTCCCAAGCCTCCGCCGCCTCGATGGAGCCCAGGATGCTGGAGATGTTGATGATGGCAGCTCTGCTGCAGCTCATCTCCTGCTGCCCTTCGGCCTCGGCAGCCTTCTTCAGCAGGGGCAGGAACGCCTGGGAGGGGGGACGGATCAGGAACGCCTGGGAGAGGGGACGGACACTTGGGCATCACCATTTTCTTCCTCCCCTCTGGAATTTGGTCACAGGAGGTGCCTGTGGCCTCACCTGGCTCGTCTGCAGGGGCCCAATGGTGTTGGTGGTGTAGACCAGGCTCATGTTCTCTGCTGTCTCGGTGGCCAACGTGCTGCGGCGCGTGGTGCCGGCGTTGTTGATCAGGAGGTTGAGGCCGGCGCTTCCCACCTCCTCCTGCACCTTCTCAACTGCAGCCTTGATGCTGTTGGGGTCTGTCACATCTGCCAGGGGAAAGGGGGGCTTGGGGACGGGCTGGGGGCCATGTAG